CTACCTCTTCATTATACCTTATTTACATCCTTCCACTGCTTCTTCCCTCTCTTTATCTCTATTAATAGCATCCTTGATAATATCATCCTCTGCCTGTCATTTCCAACAGTTTTAATATGTCAATTCATTTTTAGATATAATGGACAACTGGAAAATAAACACATGGTAGGTTTTCGAGAGGCTAATGAAGGTCTATGGTCATTGGAATGGTCTCATTGTGAATATTCATTTTCCTTGTTCGATATAAAGTTAGATGTGTTCGGTGGTCGTTAGCATACTTGGTGGTATTGGTGTTAGGAATCTGGTTCTTTTTTCTATTGTTCTCATTTGAAATCGTGTCATTACTTACATGGATTTACCAAGATTTACATGGCTGATGGTGTCAAATTATGTGAATGCGATTACTCTTACGAAGAACTTGTACTTTTTCAAAGGCCTCCGTGTAAATATTTCGTTTCATAGTTTACCCTCGTTTCATAGAATTTCTGTTTGCATTAAGAATTCTTCATTTCTTGTTGTTATTGCAAGCTGCTATGAGATTAGTGTAACAAATTATCCTTGTTTTCGATAAGCATCAAGACTACATCTTCGGTCGTTGCATTTGCTCTAGTACGAGTTTGTTTTGTATACAGTCACTGATGCTTCTCCCTGATTAGGCAAAGCTCTCATGTGGATGCATGTGTATGTACTGCAGTTTCTTTGTTCACACGCTACGACAGAGAAGCGAAATAAGCCGTCGTGGTTAATGAACTCTTTGCAGTACATTAGGCTAATAGTGTATAATAGCCTTTGCAGATTTAAGGTCATGACCTGTCTCAGTTGTTCACAGCCACACAATGAAAGTGCTGCCAGCTGATCTATGACTTGTTATACAAGTGTCCGCAACAGTAAGTGGCATTGTTCCTGTATTCCCTTCTCAAATGCTAGTGGAATAAGTGGCCTGCTGCGCGACACCTAGCCTATTTTCCATTACCCCCTGCTTGACCCTCACGTTGTTTTTACTTATTAGGTTAATATACCTTTTACACAGCACGTGAAGTTAATAACAAGAGAAGTATGTTTAAGTGCGAAATATAATCTAAGTGACATATATCTTTCTTATCTCATAAAATACATCTTGTCAGAACACATATCGTTAACGTGACAACTGGCCGATTCTGACGTGTCTACTACAATGCACAGCATGCTTTTGTAATACCTCAAGTTTAGAAGAACAATATGTCTGAAAAACGAAATTTCAACATTTTTAAATACTTAAGCAAGTATAGCATGTTTTTGTCAGATATTGACAATAACTTTTATCACACTAGCAATCAAGTTACTAGTGTATGTACCATTCCAAATTAAACTTTCCATTGTTGTTGTTTCTGTTGTTTTTATCTGTTTGTCTTTAATTTAATTGGATTTTGTTTGTGTAATATTAGTAGTGAGGCATATTGTATCGCAATCAGATATGTGGATATCTAACATTTTGAATGTATAAGATGTGGCTCCGGACTAAATGGAGGAATCGTTGAATGCTCTCTCCAGTGTAATGCTCCTGCAAGTGTGTAATCAATTTGTGATTTTATTTATTATATTTAGATGTGTGATCTTATTTCCTTCCGAGACAAAGACAACTTTCGGGTGGAATCTCATGAATGTTTATGTTTATCTTATATGTTTGTCACAGTTAGAAACAGCAAGGTAAATCTTGTTTAACTCTTAAACATGCATGGATGATTATTTCATATCTAGGACCTACAATGTAGATGCCCACATGGTTATTCCTGAGGCTTGTGTAAATAGACACACAAGGGAATAACACCTTTAGTCATGAACCCGTTTGTATTAGTTTACATTCATTAAACCTTAGTAAAAGCTATGACATCGTTAGTTGCCGGGAAAGTACCTCGTTTACCAATGTCATGGCGGTCGTAGACCTTGTGTGGAGATGATCTGAGGGATAAGTTGGGAAAATTGATGCACATGATCAGTTTAGAAATTGTGTGTTTTTATCACCATTTTCCATTTCAATGATTTATTCTAAAGAACCATCTGTGATATTCCTATACAACGTTGGTTCGACGTGAAACTGCGTATTATTATGATTATTATGATTTGATTACGCACTTACATAGCTAGACGGTTTCATCGACATTTGTTAGATATAAGGTCGCATTGAGCAACACTTTTCTGACACCGTGTATGTAGATTGTCTGAAACACTGGCGGCATATTGATTTTGTTCGTACTAGGTCACTCTTGTCATATATTATTAAGTCGCATACTTTGTGACTGTCCATTTAACAGTTGTATACTATGCTTAACTATAAACAGAAAAGTTAAGGACTGAAGATGTATCACCATCACAGAAAATTACAGAACTATATATACAGTATACTTCAGATAATACATGATGGTATTGCTATAATTTTACAAATGTTTAATCCCTAAATCAAAGCTTGCATATAAATATACATGTACAACAAGACCAGTTGCAAGCTACTTCACTTACTGTAAAATCATTACTTTACGTGAGGATTTATTTTCAACGATTTTGTGAGTACTCTTCATCCAAGGATTCATATGTCCACGCACTGTTATGACAGGTATAAGTAACTTTATTGAGCTGTATGTTTATCCAAAAAATCAAGTAACAATAAAACAGTATTTTTTTTGAAATCCCACGAAAATTGAGCTCCGTGAAAATATACGATTTTTCAGTATATCAAATAACGCCATGATCATGGGACAGGAAAGTATTCCGCGTGTTGAATATGCCCTTTTTACCCCGCTGTAGATTTCGTTATGGTTAACTTGAAATTATCTCGTATATATTACATCGAAGCTATAGATATTCAATGGACATGAAGATTTTCAATACAGGTATGGTCTCTTCAGAAAATTTATCTACACACGGGAGGTAAAATAGAATGACAATAGCTGGGAATCATCGACATTCCTCAACACAATATATATGTCTATCTAGCGTTAATGCAACGATTTTATTCTATTGTACAGATCTACAAATAAACGAACCTTTTACTAATGAGAGAAAAGTGCATTGTCGGAACCAGTTCTGCTTTGAATCAAGCTTCTTTTCACATTAGATATTATTTACAGCGATTCCTTGAAAATCGTTTGCATATTTTACAATATGTATGCTAGCTCGCCAACATTTGTGCCGGAATGAGAATTTTAATGAACAAAGCATAAAATTGGCAGTGAGTGTAAACCATTATACAAACATACATAGCTTGAGATAACATCTTTTACGAAAATGACAGATGTTACTGGGGTGTATAGATACAAATATTTGCATTAGAATATTCAATAATTTCCTATGTATTGTGTTTCGTGATTTAGAGAGTAAACTGTGAATTGTTTCGGTTTACGACGTACAGAACTACATATGTAAATCTAAACAATGCCCGATGTGGTGTATATAATTGTCATTGATTTTTTACATTCCTGAGTACCTAAGCATTGTTACCCTATCAAGGTATTTCAGTCGGAGAGTATAATGGTAAATTGTTAATCAATGAAATATTGGACAACAGAAAATATTTTGCATACTTTATCACGGACGAATCCATCAAAACAATGGCAAGACACATCTGTTTTCTAATGAAGTCCAATATACATTATTGATCAATGCACAAATTATAAAGTGACGTCCGCTTTTATCGATTTCTTACCCAAGAACATCTCGATTTACTGTCTGGATGGCCGACAGCAGTGGGTGTTGGTGTATATTTTTATAGTTGGAGATCCATTTTCATTGTTTGGATTTAAAGGGCCTTATAACGACACCACAAATTTGCATTCTGTTCGTTTCTTTTTACAACCTGGTTTTATTTTCAACCAAAATATAAAGGTATTTCTGTATAGGAGATACCGAATACAGTGCGAAATGAATGTTTTTTCTTTGTACCACATGGCTTCGTAATATTAGGACAAGTTATGCCGATGTAAATCAGCTAAATATGATACTGTATGATTAAATATAGAAACGTATGTGAAAAGTATTGGATGACTCCTTCCTGGTTATGGAGGCACTGAAGCCGTTATCATACGTTGTGTAACGCAATTTACAACATTTGAAAAAACCCATGTAATATAATATAACCGCCTGTAGAAGACATTATGATTGTCTAGTGGTGTTTCTGGAAAGAGCAGGACTTCCTTTAACAATGTATAACACAAGTATCATGAATAAAAGATATTCTAGTATATATCTAAAAAAAAACAACGTCAGCATAGGATAGAACAGGTTCGTCCTTCCGTCTGTACATAAGTAATATATGGTTGGAGTCAGGATTGTTCCTTTGAATGAATGTCTGTTATAAATGATGGGATTCGTGGTATTTAGACTTCGCAATGAAGGACGACCCCATCAATATACAGGAAAGATGACTTATTTCGTCAAAAAGACATGACACTTGAACTTTAATGCATTACTGTCAGATTTAAATGCTTTACAAATTTCGAAACATGGGTCACATCCGACATTGGTTTAGAAATTCCATATTCATGCGCAATTGTTTCGTCCACATTAGCGCTACATAATTCAAAGAGGTATTGATTTGATAATTTGAAGGGGCGAGACGGGGTGGGGAAGGGGTGTTGGGTGGAAATGGAGAGGGGGTTAGTTGAAAAATATTAAGCATTAAAAAGAGGAATCGATGAAAAGCAAGTGCTGTGAAACATCAAAAACATCAAAGTGACGATCGAGCGATGCAAAAACAAATCGATGTAGGTGTGCGTGAGAGCAACTGTTGAAGTAACTAACATGCAAGATCATTTATAATATATGTATCTAGGACCCTAGACCTAGGATATTCGTGTATGTATCACAACCTAGGTAGAATTACCTGAGTATGGCCAATGAACTATGGGTTGTTTCTTGTCTGGTCAACAACCTCCAAATAACCGTTTTAAATGATTTCTCATTCACTTTCTCCTAATGTAAATGAATGATTCAATTACTTCAGTCTTTTGAAAAAAATAACAAATAAGTTTTTCAGTTCTTAGATTTTCCGTATTTATTGCAAAAAAGAGGCAAAATAGTAGTCAGCCACACTGGACAGGTTGTGACCATTTTCTCATCAATCATAATTTACAAAATATTGGAATTTCTCTGACGCTTAACGCACAAATATTTATCCACACTTAACTTATGGAAACACATTAATCAAGTTCCTCCATCACACACACACACACATCCGTTGCACTTCTCCATTCATCAAACGATCTTCTGAACTATTGATAGCATACCAACATATCACATCTGCAGATACAAATCAGGATCAAATGCGGATTCCTGGCTCCGTTGATTACCTGATAACGAATACACATTTACTCAAGAAGGGGTATTTTTATCCAAGTATTCGATTTCGTGCAGTCTTCTCAAGTCACTTAATTCCTCATACTATCTCGTACAGCCTTACATGTCATATTACGTCATGACTATGTCATCAAACTGAAGGTCATGACCATGCCAAGTTGAAAAAATATATTTCATTGAATTCATATAAACAGTATAGTTCATCAATAAAATGTCAAACACTCATCAAAACAAACTCAATATTCACAAGCAACAAAGACATCAACAAATTCGCTTTTGCACATTTAAAGTAGAAATTAAATTGGAAACCCTTGTTACATTATCTATAATGTGCGGAATTTCGAACGTATTTTCTCATCCCTGACAGTCGTACATCTTCACTACATTTTCAATGTTCTAAGTGTATACGTCGCTACCATACTTTTGTACATAAAGTTAAATTTTGCATATTAATGAGATCATTTAAAATCATGGTCCATTTTTCAGGGAGACAAATAGTATCACATTTACAGGAGTAGTGGATATCACACGTGGCTTTCAACCTCACATATTTTTGAAATTTATACGATCCACGTGATGGCCACACAACAAGCACTTATAGCATATACACTGTATACAAGCTCGAAAGCAGAATACCAAATGCATGCCAGAATAAAGCTGAACAGATGTAAAAGTTTATCAAATTCTTCACCATTAATTGTTGGAATGATCAATATTATTCCCAAGTAAATTTTGACTAGCAAATTTTCCCAACACAAATTATCACAAATGGAAAAGTTTTCAATACATTCTGTCAGAATACTACTGGACAGTTTGGTCCTTGCACGAAAGGAGATTTAGTCTTTCTCGTATACACTATTTATCTCTTTACTTAACAACTAATTCATCTATTGCCAAAATACCAGCAAAGGTTCAAGACTTTGTGACAACTTTACCGGAACCGGAAGTAGACACAGACATACTGATATCACAATGACCATTCTCTTTCTGCCTCTGATATGTTTGACATACTTTTATATTTAGAGGAGACATTTTGGTCAAACACCATTTATAAATGATGTAAAAATATTGCAACAAGTTTATTATTTGTTTTCATTGCTAAACTCATTTTTTGATTTTGGCAAATGAGATCGCTACAAATCATACAAAGGTGATATACTTCCCTTAGAACTAATTGCTAGGGGATTGGAGCACGTGTCAGAAACACAACAAAGATCAAGGTCTTAACAATCTTCACTTGATTTCTGGCAAGAAAGTTTCGGAAGATCAACACATATCTCTTGACAATAGTGTATATAATTGTTATAATCTCCGAAAAATCTTTTTCTCGTAGTTTACAACGTAAGGGAAATACTGTTGTAGTGAAAGTTATTCAATAGGAATACAATATAAGGTACACACTATCTTCAACACAGAAAAAAATGTTTCTGTCGGTTTCCCTTATCCCAGTGATCCTCATGATTTTCACAGCAAAATGACAGATGACCGATTGATGTTTTTTCTCTTAGTTGCTTTGTCCACATAAATAATGAAAGACTTTCAAAGTCAACAGCTTCTCCAACATTTCTGATCTAACTCCACAATCATTCCTGAATTCTGTTCGAAAGAGAGGTAATATTCCATAAGCACAAGCAGAGTCATTCTATGCTTAAACAAAAGGAAATATGTTTTATCACAATTTCACGTCACATGGACGTCATATGGCCTAGCAGGCATTTAATGGCAGCCTTTGACGTCACAGTGACACTATACGTCACGGATGGAAATAGAAAGACACGTGGGTGATGTCGGACGCTTGCACTGAATAAATACTGTGTTATATCACATTTAAATGTCGGCCCCTTCAATATCGACCAGGTTTTTTAACATGGACTTAGCAAAAGCCATTCGTTCCACGATATCTCTACGGCAGCCATCCTGGATGATGTGAACCATGGGATAAGTGTTGGCAGTTCTGTCCTCGTCAATGTAAGTCACAAAGTAGTCGTTCTTCATATAGCTCATGATAATCTTCGTGTGGTCGTCGAAGAAATTCACCTGTGTACGGAAAATAAGATGATTTTGAAATGTGTGCGGTATCACAAGGATGCAAGATGAACAGAGGATTGTATGACAGACATACAACACTACGTTTACCATAGATCGATCATTTAAATGGGTCAACAATATGTGATACAAACTCTGATCTTAACCATTGAATAATCATTGCAAGATGTGAAGGTTGTTTGAAATGTTAAAACATCATAATTGAATATATCAATGCTAATAACTTGTGAGTACACGAGAAAGAAAATATTTTTTATTTGATGGCAAATTTTCTTATAGTTCTTGCTTAAAATTTCTGCCTTAATCAGATACAAGTTTCAATTAATGTACGATCGTGTTAAAATGGGACTTACCTGAAGGGTACCATCACTAAGATATAGCACAATAGCTTTTCCGGTCCGGAACCACTTTTTCAGGTAGGCAGTCCCTCCCCACACGTAATCATCCGAGTCTCTCGATGTCTCCACGTTACCACCCTGCAAAACGAGAAATTGGTATTATTTGAGATTTAAAAAAAGACCTTAATAATTTTCGCACAGCATTACTTCTCTAAGTGTTAGTGACAGTGTATTCAATCCAAAAAAGTAATATCCAAAAACGGATCGCTCCGGAATTAAGGTTGAATTAAATGCGAAATCATATAACCGTTGACTTGTCCAATTTGATGAAAACGTGAACTTTCATAGCCGCGAACACGATTTGTTTTACAGTAATTTCAAGCTCACTTATCAGAAACATAATGCTTATTATACATCTCTTACCTTCCAACAGGAAAGAGTGATGTAAAGATATCGACAAGTAACGATAAAGAAATGACATCAATGATTTTCCGACATGAATGTCTCTTTTTAGCTATTTTTGTATTCATTACTCTGTTTTATGGCGATGATGCAAGTAAGATATTTCCGAAAGCTAGTAAACAACTGCAAAATATGTCTGTAGTTTCATAACTGACCAAGGCATTTTCCTTTCCGCTTACCTGTATAAGATGCTCGTCCATGTACCTCGCAAAGTACAGTAACAGGGTAGTCTTTTTCTCCAGTTCCTCTGGCACGCACTCCACAGTGAATGTAGACAGTTTCCCAGTCATGTCGTAGTACTGGATTGCTCTGTAACATACAGAGGGATTCAAATCAGTCGCAGGTCGAAATGATTTTTATATTGCTTACATCTATCTACATCAACATTACCACATATTGATGTGGAAGACGTAGACACAATTTCAGTATCAACGATACTAGATGAGTTTTTGTTGAATTATTGGGCCAGTGCACCTCCCTGTCTAGATTTAGACATTTATTTCGATCACTAAGGAATTTATTCAGTCGCCTTTAATGTTTCGAGATTTAGGCTCTTAGCACTCAGAGGAGAACAGTTGTTTGATGCTGTTAACTTCATTGTTTGGCTCTACTGTATCTAATGCTAAGTAAGTATTAAATGTGCTATTTACTTGTGTGTCTATTGATTTATCAAATAAAATGCAAAACCTGCATAAATGTAGCAGAGTAACTCAATATAAAATATACATCCAAAGATCAAAATGACATAGTATATTTCAAAAATAGAGATGAGTAAATTTACTTCCGGTTTATTTTACTGCTGTTTAAGTGACATATAACTTTAATGATTTCATTACATCATTCGTTGTACACAGTTTGACTTGCTTTCTCGAAATTCAATATACACAAGTACCTCTTCATTGATTAATAATTTTAAAGGCCATTGCCTATTGTCCATAACTATATCTCAAGCTTAAAATTACACAATGTTTGCTTTTAATGTTTACAAAATATTTGTACCCAGTCAATAATGATCTCAAATACGTGTGGAAAACGACAGGTTTTATCGCTCGTTCATTCTAAAGCATGACTTTTACTACTGGTCTGAGTGACCGGTCAGGAAGAGACAGTCCGGTCATGTTTACACGGACCTTGTGTTGTCCAAGTGGCTTAAGTTGTTTGGTGATTGCGACAAGGGTCTTATATGTAATTACGTCCGCCATCTTGACTTGATAACCGGTACTTGTACTGTCGCGATAGGAGGTACGGAAAGAAGAGGGAACATTGTGGGCGGAAAACACTTCTTAATAACTGATGACAGTTTATCTATATAAGTTCCCACGACCATGCATGCTATCAAGTGTATGAAGAGGCACACATCGGGAACCCCATGACATAATATCTCGTAAGAGCAGATTTAGAAGGAAGTCACGGATAGAGACATATTGATATGATATCTGAGTCTGATTCAGGGTGCTAAGTATCATGCCTAGTCTTGTCTTGTTTGTGAGAGTATAATATCCGAGGTGTGTATAAACTACCGCAGGTAGGTCTGGGAATGTTGACAATGTTATTGGACGTTCATTGTTTGGGGTAGAGATAACATTATAGTACATAGTCCTCTCATGTCTACTAAGACGGGCTATTACATTGCATGCAATATCGTGGACGCCATACTCTAAGATTGACGCGAGGTCATATCGGTTCACAAGATTAGACGGAGTTTCGTGCATTGCATAATACAAACCATTCAAAGAATGCTTTTTGTAGTGTATATGCACGTAAAGATAATAAAATCTTAACTGTGCACTTCATGACGAAATCAGTTCGAACACCTACGAAGCATTTTTGAGGAGATTGTATGTGTAGTCGCCTTTCCTACTTAAAAGAAATATCTAATATTCCCAGACACAATCTGATCAGTGTAATCATCCATTTTATCACTTGAAGAACAATGGTCAAACAGGAATTCGGTGGCAAAGTAGAAATAAAAGCAAGCATCAGACAGACTAAGGATCATTGGGCTATCCCGATATTAAACTCTCGTAAAACCGCCAGCTTACAGCACACGTGTAGCAGAACAGTCGAGTACAATGCACTTTCGTAAAAGCACGGCTATGAAGTGTGTTTTAATTCCATGTATTATGGTTCAACTCTGTAAAAGTACAAACCTATTGTCCGATGCTGATAGTGTTGTGAGAATTATGAGATAAATGAATACCTTTCCTTAAATCTCTGGCTTCAATTAAAGTGCGAAATATTTGTTAGATTTTCGACACGAAGCACGTGCGTAAATGTCAGTGTACACCGCGGTAAGTTCAGTTGGAAGTATGCATTCCACACGGTTGAAAACGACAAAAGCTAATTACATTTTGTCACTCTCGATTAAAAAACTAATTAGGATCCAAATTCATATTTCACTTCGATATCAACATAAAGGAAACTTGGTAATTACCTTCCGTCTGGTGACATGACGATTCGTGACGTATCGTTGAAGAGCACGCCAATAGCATCGTTGGAAAGTTGGAATCCAAATCCATATTTATTGGAATAATCCACCCATTTTGTCACCCAGATGATGGTGGAGTCTCCTACGGCAAGGGGATTGTTTGTCACATCTACGAAGTATAACAATTCGAGTTATTTAAAAGTATCAACCAAGAGAAAAAATCTACAGAATAAGTTGAAAAGTTATTCAGCATTTCCTATATGAAAATATTCAACGTAACTTGTTAATATGATTGTTAGATGAGAAATGATAGGAGTGAGGTACCATCAGCAAATCACTAGATACACCAGACTTTTGTTATTGAACAGCAATTCAGAAACAACGGTAGTTCATGAATATTTTTAGAGAGCAGGTACCTTTTGGCATGTGTTCGAGGCATGTGTGGAGAACGTCCAGCAAATTAGCTGCCGTGCGAGGTTTTGGAGAAAGATCTGAAAATACGAACATGAAACATTGATGAAATAGAGAATGCCAATAAATTGCCACTGCAAGGTTACCTATGCAAAACAGGTGATGCACATAATTTGATATAAATATAACTCAACATTGACCCATCACCTACCTCGTTGTGGTGGTGAATCAGATCTGTCAGATCTATTCGACCTTTCTGAGACGAGTTCTCTGATTGGTGATTTGATTGGCGGGAAAGCAGCTGGAGAACCTCTATCACTACCCTGTTAACACAAGAACATTGATCATATGATTAATATGTCATATCAATGGAGAAAATGATTACTTCACAGTAAGCTGTAAGGTTTATTTTTTCATTTACTAGGCTTCGTGTTGAAATGGACAATGCTACTTGTGACAACAAATACAGCTAAAACGGTTAATTACCTCTGATGTTTTATCACTCTTGTCGGATCTTGCAGTGATTTCCACTTTTCTAAATGGAGACGTGACTCTTTCTATAGGATCTTGTTTATCTGGAACTGCATAGGATTTTGGTCTGAAAAAGTAATGGAATAGATCAATAGTCTGGTATTTAAAATGTATGATTCATACTTATATGACATAATATTGTAAAGAAACTCCAAAACCAATTAAAGATGGGCTATGAACACATATTTAAATGTAAGAAAAGAAATAAGAATTTGCGAAGATATACGGTTTTGATAAAGAATCAGTCATTAACAGCTGATGATTCTAGTTTATTGGAAATTCTAAAAGTCTGACATAATTTATTTAATTTTTCACGGGGATGCAAATGCTATGATTTTTTAAAGCTCAGGTCTTCTTGATTGTGCCGAGTATACATTAATATTCGTGTCTCAAGCCATTGTGAGGAAAGTGTATCTTACATATTGTTAAGTATAGACTCATGAAAATCGGTAAAGTTTCTGGGTTGACTTATATCAAATTGATTTTCCTAGTTCAACAGGAAGAAGATCGAAGATCGAACATGTATCTTTTATCTCCTGTTTATTGTTCCCGACATAAACCCCAACATACGATATTGTTAGGCGTCAATTGCAATCTCTATCAATCGGTCACGCGTGCTTATACAGGTAAAACCGTCCAGGTAGGTACTTTGTTTGGAACAAAGAAAACAAAGCCGACCATAAGGAATGTGCGGTGTTCACAGCAGATATATACAGCATATATCTCCCCGGTCTGGACACCTGCCGATAATGACATGTATGTTGTTATAATGTCTGAATATTTCATTAACTGAAGTGGTTTTGGTATTGACGAATAAATTCTTTCCCGGTGAAGAGAGCGAAAAGTCATTCAAGTGATATTAAGGTAAAAGAGGCAAACGGCTCTGGTCGATTATAAATACATTAATTGATATAAAACTACATATGTGATGGACTAAATTGCGATTTCTGTCACGTATCAATAGTTAGTTGTAGATACGTCACGTGATCTTTAACGGGTGTCAATCACAGGACAAAACAAAAACAAAGAAATGTAGATATGTCCACTAAACGTTAATCTAAATATAAAATTAATACAACGAAGGCATACACCAGTAATTAATTTCTGTTCATTTATATCCCAAATCCAATTGTTTTCTCCCTCGGTGATGTTAACAGTATATTTTGTACTAATGATATCCTTATGTCTGATTTTGAGAATACAACCCTATTTTTTCCACCATCCAATATCCTTCCACATAGCTGTTTTTCTTTACAATATACATTCGGGATAAATATCTAGCCATTAATCGAAGTTTATATCTACTAGTCATAATGACAAAGCAACTACATTGTGATGTCTACCCTCTCTACACAATTAGTAAGACTTTTTTATTCACTCAATACATAATCTTTTCTAAATATGGAGAAATCTGTTGCAGTGGAAAGAATCAAATTCATTAATGCATAAATCCAACACAAATTGATAATTATGAGTTTTGTCGCGTCATTCAACCAAAAGTCCATCTCATCATACGAAAACGGAAAATCAGTAATATTCCGATGTGATTGTATCGAGAAAGGACTAAATTAAAACATCTATATAAGTCTCACAAATTAGCAACGTTTCTGTAAAGACATTTTCATTGACAAGGGATTGAAACCCATTAGCCAACAGTGTAAAAGGGGAGTTATAATCAGATATAATTACAGAACCTTTTCACGTCTTACTCCTAAACAAATAGCAAAGTATAGTTGTATGACTAATAAAGATATATTTTACATTTATCAATCCGTGAAAGAAAGGAGTGGGTGCAAAAATGAATCAACAAATCTAAAACTGAGCCAAAGTATGTAGTAACAGACAAAACGTATAATTATTTACCTGTATAACGAATACACTAAATTCTAAAGCTAATGATATGTGTGTGTTTAGTATTAACCTAGGCGTTTTATGTACCTGTACAGGTATCAAGGTATATTCACAATCTGAGTTAGGATCCCACGCTTCATAAATACCTGGCATACTTCTAGCCACCCTGATTTATCGCTGTATATCAACTGTGGTACAATAATCTCCAAAACGTGCTATTTTTATATAGATATACATGTATATTATTTCTATCAAACAATTGGGTGTATGATAATGGGAATCTATCATATATACTAACTACATACCTGCTGATAATTCAGATAAAATTAGATCGAGTTAATATTTGATACCGTAATTTACATGTAGATGTGTATTCAAACTTCAATGCCAAATAGCTTTTAAGAATTAAATATGGTTTTAACCAAGTATGCTGGACCACCCTGCGCATTTCTCCACACGTCGTCAAAATTGTACCGACAGCTTTATTTTCTTTTCAACTTTGAAATTTGACCTGGTATTTAGTAAAACACCTTGACATAATGACATTAGCTCTCGGAGAATATCAAACAGGAACGATTAGAAACATTCCAATGCTATTTAAAATCATACAGACATATGCATATAGATATAATCACTATTGAAAACTATAACATTATTAGTGTTATAGTGAATATTTTCGACATTGCCTGAGGAAAGAAACGACTTTCGGTTTTATTTGTGCAAGGTAAATTCGTATATTCAAACATTTAATTCCTTTGACGGTTAAGGTGGCCAAATTTTATCCGATTACGCTTACCAGTTCAGAAACGATTATTCTATTGTGTGTTCACCGCAGTGCTCAAATATTCCAAATATGCTGACATTAACTCACTGCATTAACTTTCACATTATGACTGTCTCCGTGTGTTTTGTTTAAAGCTGTTTTTGAGTCACGAAGTAAGTGCCTAAATGTATGCAAACAACTATATTTGGTGCTTTATATGAACTTCAGCCCATCTAGCAGTCATGACCCGAGTTTAAATTATTTAAAATAAGTTAAATTTGAGTCAATTCTTCCTGAAAAAAATGACAAACGTGGGACTGTCACCGTAATCTCGCCTAACTTATCACTAAGTATTAACATATTAATGTTTAATAACGATGTCATTTACATTTATGACGTGCGTTCATTAATGTGTTTGATAAATTGATTACAATAATCATCTTAAGGAAATATTATGCTATCACAATCTATTTGGGATTTTCTTCCCGAAATGTTTTGGATATGTACACAATACCACGATTTCTTTTGATAGAAATTTTCTTTCAGAGGCGAATGTACAAACTTTCGCATGAAAATTAAATAAATAATTATAAGGAAAAATTCACAGACGTTATGATTTTATCATTACAGTATCAAAACGACTTCCTCTTGATAAGAATTGACATCGTGCTTTGATAACTTGTTCCCTGAAAACATTTTTTAAAAAAGTAACATTCCAAACATTTTCAAAATGTCAAGAAATAATTACCTGTTAAATTTTGTGTACACTGGGAATTTCGGTACAGAATTGCAACAAGAGGAAGGCAACGTCTTTGGCATGTAACCGGAAGTGAAGAAGTCGTCTGCTAGAAACTGGTCTAGACTGGGACGTAGCTCTGGTTCTGGTGTGAGACACTTTTGGATAAGATTTTTGGCAGGCCCGGATATTGTGCTGGGCAATACGTAAGAATTTCCGGTTATTCTCACGTAGGTTTCCTTTAGTGTTGATGTCTCAAATGGTGGACGTCCTACCAATAAGGCGTACCTATTGTTGAAATGTCAATGAAGTGAAGTGAGTAAAACAGAGAGCAACTACATTCGCGGCAAAATAAAAATAAACACGTATTGTAAACCCTGTCTGGTCGTTAATTGTATCACAATAATGTAGAACATACAATTGATATAACAAAATTTCTAAATGTGAATCAAATGGTTCTGTAAAATGTCATGGTTATTTTTACAGTTAATACAGTAATTCACTTATCCCAAGTCTGCTTAATAGGCGTTTTATGTACAACACACAAATGTATGTATCCTGGTCCTCAATCAAAAATATATAGTTTTTTTTTACAGAAAACTTACATAACACATCCGAGAGCCCAAACATCAGCTTCATAACTATGACCTCGTTTCTGAAGTACTTCAGGTGCAATGTAATTTGGGGTACCACATACCGTCCTGAAAAAAGGAATAAAACATAAAGCTATAATTTTCCGAAATTACATATTTGAATGATGCTTTCATTAATGTTGCAATGAGCATTGGGATATAGCAATATACACATATGCTGGTTTGTTCAAATGATTTATCTCATGTCATCTACAAAAGCAATGTTAAATGAATAACGTATAGCTCTGTTTAAACATTCACTTTTATTTTAAGGGTCATACATTTTCTTTTCTCCTTCGTAGCCGATCTTAGTCGCCAATCCAAAATCTGCAATTTTGAGTTCCATATTCTCGTTGAGAAGCATGTTCCCAAGCTTGAGATCCCTGTGTATGATGTTATGACTGTGAATGTACTTGACGCCCTCTACCAACTGTCGCATGTAGTATCGAACTTCGATTTCTGTGAGCATCTTCCGGTGTTTGAGCATGTGTACAAGCGACTGAAAGAATTATGGAATGATTTACATTAATTATCAATGGGAATTGCATTGCAATACATGTAAAAAGTTAATTGTCTTTTATAGCAATATCAGGAAAAACACTAGTTTAAAAGTACTCAAGAACAACTAAAATGATGTAAATTTATGCTCTGATTCAGAAAATGCAAAATTTATAAATTGTGATAAGAGTAAATTATGAATATTGTTTGAATTATTTCTAAATCAGGAGTCTCCTATGCATATGGCGGCCATTTAAACAATGTAGTTTAAGATTTGTTTTCTTCGAATTCAAGAAGATGAAGAACATATTTTGTTTTACATAGGTGTCATAAGTAACCTATTTGGAAGACTGATGGTTTTGATTGGCAACGGTAGCGAATCCTGTTTTGAGATAAGAATGGTATCATATTACTGCTAAGTGGCATACATCACGATTCGGTTCTACTCTTATCGAAGGGCAAGGAACTATCGACTTGTTCTGCTGACGCCACATAAAACTTCATTGAATATGACACGTTATATAAAATGTGGATGTACTTTTCGAGATTATCAGGAAATTGACGTGTATACGGTTCCTAATTTGCAGCCAAAATTGAAGATATCTTGAAATATATAGATATTTCTTTCACCCGAATGTTTGCAAATGTGCATGGATAGAAAAATCTAGATTTTCAAACTATTTATTGCAGTTAATGATATAGACAATGCCATATGCAATATATCTCATGTTATCATAAACCGAGCGTGTCGAGGGCATATTTTCTTTATTGTCTTTGTCCAACTGACAAACACTGCCATGTCCTTGTAGCAAAATTGTGATAAGCCATATTTATAAGTCCACTTTAGAAGCCAGGAGATGTTTGCTGACTCGTCATGTAAGCGTGTACGTGATGTATAGTCATGAGACTTCATATCTCGTCGTACTAAACACCGACCGGATGAGCTGAGGAATATCGACCTTTAGCAGATAACAGTTATCATACAAAAAGTCCTACACATACAAGTTTAAGTCCCTGGCCCCATCGTCTTCAAACTTAATTACCTCTATCGACAGTTAATCATAGCCGACCTTGGTTTTATAAGGATGATACGTGAGTTTCATATGGAAAATAAAATCTTTGATATAAAATATTATGTTTATCATCGGCTAGCATCCTGTTTTCAACCCTTTTCAACATTCCAAATAGAAATGGTAAAATGTGAACATCCACCAATAAATTGTTTTCGGTGTCTGTGAGATAAATCTATTTTATTGCTTTAAAATATGCAGCAATATGTCCGATCGCCAGGTTTGGGATATAACAAGGCGGTTACATGCAAGTTTATGTTTCTTTTTATGAAATATAACGCCTATTGGAGATTTTCAGTAATGTTTTAGAAGGCTTACACAATTAAAATGTATGTTCCGAACTCGATGTATAAAATCTAAAATTCAAATAAATACATATCCATGCACGAGATTCTCAGGCATATAAAGGAGAAGTCGGTTCATATCAAACATATGCCAAATGAACAAATACATAACTTGGCTTTCAGCATGGGAAATGTTTAATTTAGTTAATCGGAGGTATGAGATTGAATATCAGCCAATCTTCCTATCAAATTCCATAACGCGATTATAAAAACGTCAATGATATGAAATAAAGATTAAATTTTAATTTCATTTCTCTCATTATGACACATCCAACATTAACGTCCAAACATATTTAATCTTTTAAAACTATTATTGATAAATCAAGAATATTGACACATAATTTGTACATAATCTGCAATATTAAAATATTTCTTCGACATGTTTAAGTAGCTGTTTTAATGTGAAAATGGTTTTGTAATTTAACAATGCATATAGACATCTGTTGTAGGCACAGTATATGAGAAACATAACAGTTATGGAAAAAGGTATTATCAGACCAGCACTTTCCTTTTTATCGATGTGGGTATGACAAAATAACCAGGTAAAAACAATCGATCATGATTATTCATATCTTCGTCTAAAATTTCAACCAGGTAAAAAATCCAGGTGAAGAAAAATATCAACAGGTGCCAATACACGGTTCGGCGTGCACAGTTTAAACAAACAGCTGACATTTAATGTCCCCATATAGCAAGGTGTCCCCAACTAGGGTTCAATTTACATCTTGATAAGTCGCCGCATAAACTGCCACTTTAACTGAACACATTGCTTCCAAGTGTTAACGAGCCAGTCTAATTTGAAAAGCAAGGTCATATCCTATGTGTGGTAAGATCGGTTTCTTTTTTAAAATGTCAATAAACAAAAACATCATAGCCAATACTACCTAGGTATATTATCCACAGACACGCGATATCGATAGAGCCTCCGTGGGAATATTCTCAAATCGTGAAAGTCATTAAAGAACGTCATAATTACAATCTAAACAAACATTTTAAGACCTGTTACAGATATTCCCTATAAAAAATCTTAAAAGACTTTTCGGATTTTCGCATCAGTAGGTCCTTAATTATTTAATCCTACGTGAAGTTTAACTGATATTTTGGTTGTTATAAAATGTTTACGACTTTTATTTGCCACCTGGTATATGCAGTCATGTGCATAATGAGGGGTCTGACCTGAAATTCTCTGTCTAGAAAGGGCATCATATTCCCATCAATGTATCTTTTACCACCGACCCTTCCACATTTTCCTATCATTTTACCCAAATCGCTATGCGTAGAAAGTCATTTTTCGAATCTTATTCCTCAAATGTTATCCTATAACGCCATGCTTCACGCGTAAAAATGTATTTGGAATGTTTGGATGGACACTTTCAGTGTCGTATGCAGCCATTAGCTATGAATTATCATCATTCTATTTGTTCTTTACCGTGTACATACAGATGTACAATTCATAGGCTTGATTACTCTCACTATTTCAACTATTTTAGACACGCTGTTTAATCCCTGACCACAGAATTATGCTGACTTTATTTGCTTTCCGCTACATTGGATAATTGTGATTGAATCAGATTGCAACGTTCTCAAAATGTGACATAATCCGAGATTTCCATAAAAAGTATGAATATTTCTGGTTTTAAATCGGATTACTTGTCAGCAGCTGTCAAAATGTTTATATACTTACGCACAAATGAACATACTATTTCATGTATGGACTTCTTTTTGGGAAGTTAAAACTTGTTTAGGTTTTTGCGATATCATGATGATATCTTTATTTGCTATGTCTAAAATAACACTCGATTTTTGGTCCACGTCGTGTTAAAAACATAATTATAATACACACTATATATATATAATCATTATCATTTGCTGGAACATATCTTATGGACAAGAACTCAGCTGACCTTTCTACTGCAATTCTCAAGCACGAGGTACACAAACTCATCGTCTTCAAAGAAGCTATGGAATTCTACGACGTTCTGGTGTTTTAAGTTTCTTTGTAGCTCTACCTCTCGAATAATCTGAAATAAAACAAAAATAAATATAGACAAGTACTTCACATATGATAGGGGACGTGTCCCGAACCCGCCAATAAATCATTATTTCAGTCGTTATCGATATATATATATGGCCAGCCCAGGTGCCTTTGTGTACGAACTGTCAGAGCAGGCAATTTCCCTTCAATGATGGATAGCCTGACCTAGACAAAACCGTTTGCGTCGACCAAATGGCTGTTTCGTTCGATTTATGGGCATATATATTATGATTTTATTGGAGGATATAATTCGGGATGTTTGTATTTTCATAGAATATTTCCTGTAAATTCGGATCAAAGAGCAGTCGTGTATACGTTAGGGATATATTGAGAAAGTCTTAATTACTAAATAGTGAAGGAAGGTACAACATACATCATTTTGTTTTTTAAGTCTTCGATTTTCCAGACACATTTTTTTGTCTTCTATACAATTTACTATTACACTGTATGTTCGGTTGGTATATGTATTATCAATTTTGAATGATTTAACAATAACATTTAACCCACACTCTTTTATCAGCCACGTTTTACTTAACATGTCAAAGACAAACAAAAATGGCTTTCGATCTCAATCTGTCGAAATATGATCATACAGGCCGGTATAAAAGGACATTGCCCGATTGTCATATATAATTACTTGTACACAACATCAATATATCACTCTCTCTCTTTGTACCATAGCTAGTTTGACAAGTAATCTGAGATTTCTAAACGTTAGACCTTTTACACTCTCATAAAACATGCAGCTTTCTGCACCCATAGACCTTTACCTATAGAAAAATACACAGTCCCCCTCTCTCCCTACTTTGGCGACAACACACACGCAGATATACGGTAGAACTCATTACATCAAAGTCCAGAATTATAAATCTGTAAACCCGATGAGCACCATAACTGCAATTATCTAAATTGCCCCTGAAATGGGTTACAGTTTGTACAGGTTATGGCCGAGAAAAATTTTGCAGTTGAAAGGTGGTCTGTTTTTTTTTTTTTTTTTATAAAATATGGAATTCATTGGTTATAACATTGCAAAGACGTGACAATACAAATACAAGGCTGGATGAAAGGAACTTCACTCGCTGTTGTTGTTATTGATTCAAATACACTACACAATGATATCCTTTTACCTTTAGGTCACGTGAACAGATTACAAAACATGGCAACTACCCTTTGATCATAGAGCCGAATAAAATAACACTAAACTATGATACATAAATAATAGCAATGGGATGTACGTTATATTCCTCAAGGTACTTTTCATTCGGGGTAGACAAATTTTTGAGCTGGTCGATAAGGCCATTTCCGGTACAATCATTATAAATAATTATCTAATGGTTACACTAACGGGGCCGGTCGGATATGGATACCACGTGATCTATCATTTAACAACAGCTCGCTGCGTGTTGCAGTTTATAATGTCATTTTATATCGTTAAATCTTAAAAGAACGAATGATGAATACTGAAGACCTGTGTTTGAATCGGTTTATTTAAAGAATTAATGTCTGATGACATCATCTTAATACTTGAGTTAAAATTTCTTACGCTACATATTCCCATTAAAATGTATTGTAGGAGATTCCAATGGTTTTAAATTACATATAAGTTTTAGCGTTCCTTGTTTATAGATGTAAAAGAAGCATTTTTAGGTGTATTTACTTGTAGAAACTAGTGAAGTGGAACCCCTTTGTAACGCTTGTATATTTTTACACATGAACAATATGGTTCTTTGAAACAAGAAACATAAAAAGGCTTTTCTATTCAAAATGACGAAACACAAAATGGTTTTAGTGTTAGCAACTCTTTTCATTTCAAAAATGTTTCATTTCCTCTCCAGACAATCCTGTCTTATAGTCTGAGAAAGTGTGTTGAATTCGACACATATACAAGATAAAGGAGACAAGATCCATTTGGACGATTGACAAAAAAGTGACTCAAGATATCTAGCTAGCATATCCGTTTCGCGTAAGTGACAATTTCGCGAAGTGAATAGGCTGGCACATACAAATGACTTTTTTCAAGATGTTTTTTACTTTTCGTGTGTTTTCCATCTCCTTATCATGGTTAAAATAATTACATATCGCAATCTTTATTCTCGGGTTAACGTTTACTAGTTTGAAACAGTGTGTTTAAATGAGCTAACATATTTGCTAGATGTTATACACGGCGAAAACAACAGACATGTCTGTCGTTCGACACGTTTTGATTGGTGCATTTAACTCTCCGAGTTTTGATTGTTGTCTGGTACTGTTGATACGTCTTTGGCATGTCTTAATTATTTATACAGACAACATCTCACTTCATTTGAATCTGTTATGGATCACAACGGATAGGTTTAAAAAGATAAAACACTTTTCATTATTTCAATATCTGCGTTATCAAATTCACTAAAGTTTTATAGAATACAAGACTTTCACACATTATAACGTCCAACCTACTGAAACAGGTACATACACACATTAGGAACTAAAGAACTAGTGTCAATCCGCTTTGTGTTAGTCTACACTAATTCGTTAATCACATTTTAGCAATTTCTGTTCTTTAGAAATATCATTATGAAACCTTTACAGAGTCTAAATCAGCACACAAAGGTTGACTTCTTTTTGTATGTAATTTCATAGGTCTCGTTATAACATTAGGAGTGTTCGGCAGGTACCAGCCGTATTAAATCTAAGAGATTATTCCATAAAACTACCCTCATTTACTCGTAATACAGTCGTATATAACTGTATTACAACCTACCCTATTATCCATTTTTCAGTATGGCGTATTTTGTTACCGAAAAAAATCATATATATGAGTCTATGAATCACAGAGACCACTTCAGATAAATTACATTTCATAAATAGTGATTTATCTTCCTTGTTAAATTACAGTCGAATAAAATAGTAGCGATACCTTAAACTCCCATAGGCTAACTATAAACCGATGTCACGTCGGCATTAAAATGCTCCAGACAATTATTATACCTTTGTAGTTGAAACTGTTTTATTGGCTAGCTCGTCCTTGGTACAGGGGCTTGGTCATAAAGGCATTGAACTCTCAATACTGGACATAGACTACAACAATAGACTTCTTGCTCAGAGGGACAAATTGAAATATAACAGAAGGAAACGATGAATTACACTGATTATCCGGAGCTCATAAAATCTTGACGACAATAGGTGAAGGCATTGGGATCTACACGTCGGAACAATTCTTAAAACCGCCCTATCTTTCTTCTGGGTGTCTTGTGACAGGCGGTTAAAGGCGTTTTGTGTTGAAATCAAAGTGTCATTTACTTGGACCTTTAGAAAGTGATGAGTCGCACAAAATCTGAATGTTTTGTTCAGGGCTTTTGGACTGTTTTTTCCTCCCTCCCCCCTCCCTCTCTATCTCTCTCTCGCCCTCTCTCTCTCTCGCCCTCTCTCTCTCTCGCCCTCTCTCTCTCTCTCTCTCTCTCGCCCTCTCTCTCTCTCGCCCTCTCTCTCTCTCGCCCTCTCTCTCTCTCTCTCTCTCTCTCTCTCTCTCTCTCTCTCTCTCTCTCTCTCTCTCTCTCTCTCTCTCTCTCTCTCTCAATTATAGGGTAGGGTGTTAAGATTGTTCGATATGGCCGAGAGTGATCATGTTTTGATATTATCACTCTGTCAAGTAAATCTACACGAATGCAGTAGTTTCACCTGTTATCTCTGATTAAACAGAGTGTAACCAATCATTTGACGTGTGTCATCGCTACAAACATTGATCGTTATATAGTTAAAGCACCGAACAGAAAATCTAACGTAACAAAACTATCTTTAAATCTCAACAGATTATCATTCGAACAGTTTATGTATACGTTTAATGAGAAGATTTCCCCGTTTTCCCACAGTTATTTAAATGTTCAATTTAGCATGACATGCGCCTGACGTGAAAACAATCCAATTAGTCTGTGGAAGACATTGGACACATCTCGCCATCGATAGGAAACTCTTTCGTGGAGACAGTATGCGCGAAAGATTAAAAATACGTATCGATGACTCATATCATATGTTAATATCGCCCAGGTGAAGTTTCACAAAATTCATTACGAAGCCTGGTCAAAGTCGTAATGACCAGAGCCGTTGGCTATTTTCTTCTGATCGGTAGCTATTGTATAACCATCTTCCTTTAGATGTCGCTGGTCTTGTGATATCTGAGTAAAACGCCATGAATTCATTTCCTCGCTTCAACAGGTGATCTGTATTATTTGTATTTAAAGCATGATGGCAATTTCATGAATGCCCGATACTTTCTTTTCACGAAGCATATTCTCGATCACCAGCGAAGATTTTATCATTTCCGGTCTAGCACGGACGAATGAGCCCAAGACACCCTTATGATATGTTTGGCTGTCTGGACGGCCATGGTTGACTGATCACAAATTGGACCAAATTACATGTGGTGTTACACGTGAAATTGACTTATGGGCATCGTACCAGCGGTGTTTTATTTGATCTAGGTAAAAGTATACAGATGAAACTACTAAAATAACATAAATAACAGAGTGATCGACCCATAATTTAATACCGTGTGTTGTATAATGGTCGAAGTGTAAGGAACAGAAATGTATAGTCGACATTTTTGACTCGTGTTGTTGTATAAATGCCAACATATATATGGGTTCAGAGGGGGGCATAGGGATGAACTGGTTTATCAGCAGATATGCGATCTTTAGCTACGTGCCTCTTTTGTTCATCTTTTCAACACTCTGACAGATCGAACATTGTCTAGATCATATCGAACATTATAACGTACAGACATTATATAAAAAATAACCTTCTTTTGAAATAACGGTGAAACTGGTGCGTTTTTTTCCCGATACAGAAACCAGTTTACGTGCCATCGATTTTAATCTATGAACGGTATTATATACGATTACACACCGCGTCTAACTCGACACTTCCTAAAGTGAGTCATACCCAAAGCTCAGCTGAAAGGCGACCTAGTCCACCCTGATTACTTTGGCCTATATCTCAAACATTTCCTCTCGAGTGTTTCAATATTTCAAAAGGTGGTGATAGTAAATGACTGATTTGAAAAGGCCGGAAATGCGCTATTCTCTTTTTTATGTTCAAAGAACCAGTGGGTCAATTTGTTAGCTTAACAAGATTTTAGCAAAATGTCTTTTTTCATACGTCTAGCATTCTAAGATTAGAAAAAATAGATCCAATTTTACATTTGAATTTGAAATAGCTACTGAGCTATTAAGTCTTCTTGTAAATATATTCTATGTTATCAGTTTAAGAGATAAACAGTGAGATCGAGGTGTGCATTCAATTGATTTTGAAAAATATATTACTAAAGATCGATTTAAGTTTAGACAACATTGCATTTTGTAGAAGTCAATGACTTGTCATGATAAGTTTCAATGTAGATTTCCATATTCATGAACCACATCCACAAAAAAGTCTCGATCTTTAGAGTTTTAGTTACCAGTTTTCCATATTTTACCTGCGTCGGGAGCTATAATGTGACATAACAACCGAGCACGGCCGGTAACCAATGCCCGACGTAATGTTCTACAATGTTTAAGCATCAAAATAGTGCCGCAAGATTGTGAGGAACACGACCAATTTACATTAACATTACACATGGGTGTTTTTTAATCCTGGGGTTATCTAGGGAACAAGTGGGGAGAATTAAGTCTGTCTGGGGCTAGGTCAATATACTGTGCACCTGGGTAAAATCTTTCTGCGTATCAAATTAAAGCCAGATTTAGGCGACGTTCATTTGAAGATACTTCATATTGACAAGATATTACCTTCAATTAATCATTTACCTGATAAAAATGTGGTAATTTATTTATTCTGTGTAAATATGTACATGTATTTCATTAAATATCAGTCGTCACTGCAAGGTCAAAGACAAGGTAGTCTTATTTTTTATGGGTTGTCTTTATTTCGTTATAATCACAAGTCGAATTTAGATCAATTAATCACAATTAACATGTCTGTCAGACTTCTTTTCGTCGCGATTGAGAATGGCGGTAATTGTCAATACACTATTGTTAATACACTAAGTGATAATTACCTTCTGTTTCTGATGTGGCTTTGCTATTCTGGTCTTAGAAACAATTTTCCCTGCATAAATTTTATTTGTGTTTAAATCCAGCAATTCGTAGCACCGTGCGAATCCACCCTGAAAATATAAACAAATATGAAAAAATCAATATTAATTAACAAATTAAAAAATTAACAAATATTGATAGCATCAACATATTTCTCGGTCGAGAGAATCTTTATTCAACTTATTCAACTTATATGCTTCATTCAATTCTTCTTCGGCGTTTCATCTTCAAAGTACTGCATTAAGTTTGGCATAGATCCATGTATTTGATAGAGACGAGGAGGGATTGTTGGGACTGTACTAAAAGCAGTGAATAAAACGATCAAAATTAGATTCGTTTGTTTCTATTTTTAGTAATCGTATGGAATAAACAAACATATAAATATATTTCGTGTTTAAACTTAGACAGATAAGATAAAACTCATATTTTCAGACTCTGATCTTGTGTAAACATTGCATTACGCATGCGTGTCATTTAACATGCTGAAGCTATCGCCTCTCCTCGTTTATGTCTCTGTCGGGCGGTTTTATGTCGTTTACCGATGGTTTTGATCGATAAGGATTTAATTATGATATAATCCTATTGTATCTGTAATGGCTTTGGACAGTGGTATAACAAAACGAAAATAACCAGGTAGATTGTATTATAAATGAAAAACAAAGGTAAGACTGGTTCATTTCAACACACTGCACACAACCAATCAACCAGTGGCATAGGACACAAACACAGTGCAAACACAACATGTGGGTCACTGCGTGTAATCTTTCCGTCAATATTTTTACCGACAAAACTTCAGAATTTGAATGCTCTAGATGTAAAGAAAAAACAATATGTATGAAGATTCACACTTATTAAAATTTCTACACTACGTTTTTCAGTTTTCACTTTATACAATTCAATCATAATTCATTATAATAAGAGTAAATATGTTGATTACTGGAAATGAACTAATATTGATGAGAACTCTGTAGTAGATTTTCTATTTACTTCAAACCATTAAAATAAACCAATGCCAGACACGAATTCAATACCACAATATTCAATTCCCAAGTGAAGAGATTTCAAAGAGTAGTTCCGAGATTAACAAAAGCTGTATCGGCCTTCATTGATTGCCTTCAGTGATAGGAACATGAAAATTACTCCTTTAATGTGTTTGGGCTTTAATTCAATTTGTCTTGACTTTTAAATTTCAGAAACTGAGAAACTGTGAGAAATTTGAGGTTTGGGTATCGAGCCTGAACGAATCCACATTCCTTTGTCGTCACGTCAACAGTATCGTGTCCAGTACGATTCCAAAGATCCTGAAACATGAACCGAGCAATCGTTCATCAATCGATGAACCGATTTCTAATTAATTGTAGCCCTGACTGGTTTCAGACAAGGGATATAAGTATGCATATATAAGTATATAGACCATTTGTGCCACCACCTGATCAGGCTCAAGTAGCAATAGGAATGTAGTACATGCCAATTTACAATATTAATGACCCTCGTAACAATGCATGCTACCAATGGTTTTAGATCAACTCGGCGGCCATCTTTGTGTCGCGTGCAAATCATCTATTAAAGGTATACTTTGGGGTCAGTTCGGTCGAAGGCCACACAAACAGATATGAAACTAACATTCAGAACCAAGTCAGGACCAGACTTAACCGAAATGCTGAAATCAGCAATCATGGTTATGGAATTTAAGCAGAGACAATAGATATTTTGATGTTCGATGTGCGGGGTCAGCCTTAGGCCTCATATTCATTTGTACCGTACCCACAAAATATTTCACTACATCGCACTGGTAACAGGTCTTGAAAACAATGAAAGGTTTAATCAAGCATCAAACGAGAGATATCTTGCAAAGCAGATGTGATACAAGGTAAAAAAAAAGATTAGATTCGTCATGTAGAAGGAAATCGGTACTCATTCATGACCACAGTGCACAAAGTTCTATAAAAAACGTACAATAAGTGTCATTTTTTATGATCCATTGACAGAGTGTCATCAAAACAATGCAGTGTAACGCAGATTACTGAATTGAAGGAAATAGCATTTTAACTACTCAAACCAAACATATGTTGCCACACGGAAAAATGCATCTTATTATTTTTTTGCTTTAATTACGAAGCGCTTGGGTTAACACCGCGTTTGACAGGAACCGAAATTCTCGCAATGTTCAAATATCTGATTGTGCATTCTCGTAATATAATCCATTCGAGCAGACGTGTTTGCTGTAAATAAAAATGGGCTAGTCGGTACTAACTCTTTACAAAGTCCCAGGTAGTCGCGTGAACAGAATAGCACCTGTATTCCTTTGAATGTACACTTCAATTACTAAGTAAGTTCCAAGTGGTACTAATGTAAAAGAAATCTCAACTCGGGATTCAGAGGTCTACATAATTTTCTCTACATTGTCAATCTTACAATGGGGACAGTCGTAAACAGTTCATACTAACAACGTATAGATCATATCATAATTTACTTAAATTGTCTGGCATTTTTGTGCGCCAGCTCAACACTGTTTGTACAGTAAATGAAATACAAAATCTGCTTTTTTCAAATGACGAATGGGCTTTTATGATAATTCATACAAGGATTACTTTCTCACGCTCCTAAATGAAGGTCATACACAAGGGGTTGGCGAAGTGAGTTCGGAAGGCATTACTTTAGAGGGGGTTTCATCACGAGACAAACACATACCACGAGACAACAGGCGGCGAAACAACTGTACGGATATTGTTACAAAAACTTACTATTATAACATGTGCTTCAGAGTTACAACAAAATCTGAATCAATCTAAAAAATGTTCACACGCCCATGTGGAACCAATTTACCCCCATATACAGTCCCAGCGGGACCTTGGGTAGTTCTGCTTGATGTAAGGCGAGTAAAAAGTGTCACATTAACAGCACCAGCAACAACAAACACATTTCGTCATATCTTCAAATAAAACACACTATCTTGAAATTGGATATTTCCATCCGAACACTTTGTTGGCCTGATAGCACTCTCCAATATAGAGACCATGTGGATATAATAGAAATAATAAATGTCTTATTTCGGTTTTACGTTTTGCACCAGTTGTAAATAATACTTTGTTTACATGTACATGTATCATTCGTGGGTGAGCTCGTTTCAGCACTGGACGTGTAAAGTGTTATATAGATATTTATTTATAAAACTTCCCCTCTCCTCCCAGACACCGGAATCCGAGACTGGAGGACCGGGACTATGTAAATACTTCAGCCCAATAACAACCTGCTGAGAAAGCAGATGGGTTCAGCAGACGTTTTTCACATGAATTATATTTTATACAAAATGACGGTTGGGAGAGCACTTCATTGGATTAAAGCGTCATTCTTTAAAGTTTGACAATAAAGTTACGTTTTTCCCATTCATATTGACTTGCCTTAGCCAGTAGCTGCAATTAACGCTCATATTTCCTTTTTTATGTTTGTTTTAAATTGTAGATACTTCTCACACATTTATATATAAAAAGAACATCACAAATCTTTTTCTTTTAATCGCTTCAACTCGGCTCATTTCACAAAGATCTTTGAGACATATGGGTGGGTATATTGCTCAGTTACATCGTATAGAAGAACAGCTCTGCCATATTTTTGAGATACATATCATCGAGAAGTATAATATTACACGGTACTGCTCTATTTCAAGATGACGGTGATAATGATATATAGAACATAAACATTACATGCTTTCAAGTTATATTTCTCATCGTTTGAATCACGTGGCCAGCCCCGTTTCAGCATGCAGAGGTCGTACTTCTATTTCTTCATGTCAGACGTGCACATCCATTTATCCTGAAACTCAAAGTCACGTGGACTCTTGGGTGCAATTGATAGATGTAGGGTCTTGCAGGCCCCGGCCTAACTTCCTCAAGCTATGAACATCACAGGAAACATTAGGGCGAAATAGACGTCCTTTGAAAAGGATGTGTGCAATTTTATTTCCGTTTCAGGTGTTTTATAACACAGGTTTTGCTTGCCAAATAGAATCAAATATTCTTTAAACGAATGGAAATGAAAGCAATAATTGAATGAAAAAAAAAAAAACAACAGAATAATGTAATAAATAAATTTAAATGAGCTGGAATCATTGGATATGTCGTTTTGTCAATACTTGTTAATACAATATTCGATGTCCAGGTGAATCGTTCTTTTCGATGAGAGGTAATCATAGATAAGTATTCCATCAATACATTTATCAATGACGCGAATAAATGCGTTTATTGACATTTGGCCATACAAACCAATACACATTCCAGCAGCTTTCCTCTCTATATATTTAGTATCTATTTTGGTCAAGCATTTCCGAACTGACCACCTTTTGACCACCGGGGCTTCCTGTTATAATGATAAAGACATTAATATACCAGACGTGTGTCGTGATAGCAAGCAGACGACACACGCTTCAGGCGGACTCTTAACCATGCAAATTTACTTATATGTAACGCATGTATGTATATATTGATGTTCATGTGACCTTGTATGGTGTGCGATAAGACATCAAAGGTATCATTAAAATACCAACCAGGTAAAAGAGATATTTCAAATATTCACATTGTCAAGTACTGGTTTGACATTTCAGGAATCTAAATCTATGCATTTTTAAAATTAGCTCTGACGAAATTCTGCCCGGGGCTGTCACAAGATGGCGGACAATCCATCTCATGTGTGTCAGTCTCGCGATCATGACTGCCTGTAAGGAGGGCTGGGCCAACTGACGTCTAGACATCATCAGGAGACTTTTATAGCGAAGTATCAGACGTCAACAGAACTAGAAATACCTTTTTCCAGTCAATAACCAAGATTAACCATAAAATGTGTTCGAAAAATATGACAAATATTTGTTTATGGCAAAAAACACTTACAGAAACGACATTGGCGTATTGTATCTGGTCTCAGACATAAGCTCCGAAGCCTTATATTAAAAGAAGTTCTTAAAGTTTTAAAAAAATCCATTTCAATGACAATGAGACATCGCGTGGTGTTGCCCAGCTCAGCTCTATTGCATACATATTGACACAACAGTCATTTGGTAGGCAGGTGACGCCAGTGG